AGTTTATAATATTAATAAGAAAGATAGATATCCATATTTGTTAGATGAAGATTCTGCAACTTGTCTGCATAAACTTTCGTTCACTATGGTCATTCTTTCATATTAGCATTTTCTTTTATAAGACGGCTTTGAAGACTCCAGATGTTACTGAACTTAAAGTCTCTATAAAATTCCAAGTTCTCAACACGTACACGTTAGTGATGTCTAAAAGAAGTAAAGATGCGACGTATTTATTTATTAACATTACTCTATATATTTTGGTTATTTTTAATATGCCAAATGTAATTACTGTTAATATATAATTAATAGAGTAAAATCCTACCTTATTCTCTTAAAATTTGCGTAATCATCATCTCTAAATCTATATCTGGTATTCCCATTAAAAAATAATAAGGTAGATTTGCTTCGTTTACTTTCATCATCAGTATCTGAATTTATAACTTGTTTAGTTGAAAATCGATGTTGTTTCCACTTCACTAGCTAAGCACAAAAGTTTATCGCCGTAGTTTTGAAGTTTGCATTTGGTCGTCTAGAGTCTAGACTGCAGAATGACTTCTTCAGGGCACTAGAGAGTAGCAAGTAGATAACATTTACATAACTTTGCTTATAGGTTATTTTGAGAAGACAAATATCTCTTATAGCTTTTAGAATATGACTGAAGCCACTCAAGTAATGATATAGATTTTTAATTATATAGCCTTTATTTGAAACGTTTAAACATTTTGAATTAATTCTATATTTCTCTCTACATTGAAATTTTATTTGTGTTGGCATAATAATGGTGTTTTTGTGTAATATAACAAACTAGAAAGTACGAACAACAAAGTTAATATATTGATAAATAAACTTGGCATTCCTTTAAATGCTGGTTGCAAACGTTCTTAGTTGAATTTCACATTTAGTGTCTGCCGGTTAATCATAGACCAATATTGAGAAATTGATCTCCCGATGTTGTAAGTAAATCAATGTCATATTGATATTGTCAATTTGTGAAAATTAATCACTTGTCTTGACAACGAGAACATATTAACTCGGCTTGACATATTGTCTAAGGAAAGTATTAAATTAAGTACAATGTCAATACAAATTAGTTTACCGCCGCCTATGTAATACGAGTATCTAAGACCAACCGAGGCCGTAGCTTGCAGCATGTTGCGTCAAAGGTGCCACCTGTACACAGTATAAATTTGCCATGTAGACGTAACCTTAAAATGTGAGGTGAAAGGTCGACTTTCGCATAGCATTAGCATTAATACGACGCATTTGTCATATCCATGTTTTTTCTATAGTGCCATCCAGAGGAATGTTACTAAGATATGAGTCAAGTGTTATTTTAAGGTATCAAACTACGAGGTTAGGCGAAGGTGTCTTTAAATGTCACGCTGGTTATTGTGGTGAAAATTGTGGATTAGACCACAACAAAAAAACCACAAACAAACCACGACAAACTAAGACGAGAAGTGTGGACTTCTCGTCTTAGTTTTTATGACAATCCATATAGTACCACTGCTGGGCGTAGGCCTTAAGGGTTCTGCAACCATAATTCTATACTATAGTGTCAATGCATCATAGCTTATGCAGCTTAAGATTAACCTTATTATTTTTATAGTACCTCTGCAATAGAAGAAAGAACAGTTTCTTTTTTATCACGGATCAAACTATTCTTGCTAGAGCATGAAAACTCAATTATTTTTATTAGAATTAATCGAACGAGATTATTCCCATTTTGGTTACATAGTTCACAACCTTTTCTATTATTGTGAAACCATTAAGTTGATGATCTTTTTCTTCAGATTGAAATGGTTTAATTTATAAACCCGAACATAGAAAAATTTAATGAATATTAACAGTGATTTGTAATGATTATGTAGATAAAGTATTCTATTTTTCTTTGTAGATTATTATGAACTGATTGCGAAAGAATAGTATAGCGAGATGAGTTCCCATATTTATTTAATATTCTATGTAACAAATAAATATGCCTAGAGAACCTTAGTACGTAAGGTTGATACATCATATACAGTTAGATTCCATACTCAAGCACATGTTCATATACAATACACATACATTATATATACATTGAGGACGAGGAATGTGAATCGGAAGCCTGATTCCCCGTTGCTCTTGTTTCCTAATAAGTTGTGACCGCGATTTCGGACACGTAGACGTTGAAATTGGATTTCGGTGTTGTATTATGTTGGTAGAAATGTATCCTAAGTTCTTATTCATAAAACTGAATGAAAGAAATGTATTTTTTATTTTCACACTATCAGACTGATTGGTATTTGGTTTGATATAGAAATCGATTACACGTTTAGTTTAGCCTCGGAGGTAGTGGTTTAGCATACAGCTTTTCTTCGACGGTCGTGGGTTCGATGCTTCGCACTGTACAAATATTTGTATTCATGATAAATACTTTTAGTATGTACCAGTATAGTCAAACCTCGTAGAGAGAAAGTTCTTTTAAATTAGTTTAGCAAGTTTCCGACACGTGATATGCTAACTAATGAATTTCAGCCCAATGTTATTAACAAAGCTTATGCCTATACTTACATCTGGAAATTTATGGAGTCTATTAGCTAAAATTTCTGAAATTTCTTGTAAAAGAAGATATTATTATAAATAACATCATCGCAATAGTCATTTTCTAATGTCGTTTATTCATATTGTTCATGCGACATATGATTTAAAAATTAATCTCATTTTCAATTACGCAGTGCAGTGCTGCTGTTGAACATTGGCATTTCCTTTATACTATCCTAACTTACAACACTTGATCCGGATCTATATGACTTAGTTCGGATTTTTATATGTATTTGTATATGTGTTATGTAGGATCCATGATGAAACTACTGTCTAATATCCTAATTTATTCATTCATAATTTAAGCGCTACGCTCTTGTCGGTGGAGCTCTTGCCACTTTCCAATCTTCCATCATGCTCTTTAAATGTTGATACGACTCGATGAATTCCTTATGTTAATTGCGATGATGTCCTTAATATTATTTGTAAAATTATTTAAAATATATTTTGTAAACTGAATAGTGATAGAATTTTAATTAATTATACATATTTAGGACATTTCTTGAATTAACATTATGTACATTTTTACTTAATTGAGGCATGCATAACAGCAGTATTCAATAAACTATAATATTATATTACGTGTTAATATCTGTTATTACATTTCTAATACGGTATTATACGTATATGTGTTCAATTACATTATAGTAATAGATATCTGCATTGATCAATCCAATGTCTGATTATTGCAATGAAATTGCAAGCAATTAAAGTACAGTGGGATATTCGCGATCGACTGTGATCATGTAGAGTTGCTCAACCATCCGTCCTATTAATCTAATTAACGACTCGCCCGCTTGCAGATACAGATTTGCTTTTATTGCAGTAACCACTCCCGCACTTAACTCTATGGGCTCTTGTGTAAAGTCAGAAATATACTTCTACTTACAAACTTTGAGTGGAACTATTTCTTTTCTTTTTGTGAAGTTTGTTGGAACTGTTGCTTTGAATATTTATTAAATCTTTAACTTTATTATTCTTAGTCTATTATTAATAACAACAATGTTTTTGTATTGAACAATATAATACGTCTGCAACGAATTTTACTTTATCTAAATATATAATATGACGGTCAAATGGATTGATAGAGAAAATCGAGGACGATTTTTGTCCGTATCATTGTCTTAATCCTAAGTAAGTTTAGCCATCACCTGGAATATATTCTAAGTGGCCTTTATGCCTAGGAGGGATTGCATTAGCACAAGATCTTTCGGAAGTAAGATGAAAGTATAGTAGTACCTACATTATTCTCTTTAATACTGTATATTCACCAGTTTGAAAACGCTAAAGACTAAAGCCAAAGATGATTGATAGCTTCCTTAGACAATTCCAAATACATGTACATCTCTTGTGACATAATATGATGTTTGTAAAAATAGAATATTCAATAGGTAAAAGAAATAAGAACCGTGATTATGTTATTCCGATAGCTAGAGTCAGGCCAAGTGATTTTATATAACGTGGCGAAAGGTCAAGTTCACAATGATATTTGGGTATTCTGATTTAATCCATTGAGTCGAAGTATTCACGTGGCATCAATAATTTTCCTTTATTAAATCAGTTTGACATCACTGAAATATTAATCAAACACTGCAAGTACTTTTATTATTTCCATAAAACCTTTATAATATTACTATAAGTCTCGAGAGAATAAACACAAGAACAAACTGAAAAATCGCTCTTATACAATTACAGCGATTATGTATTATGTCTTTACTTTGATTAAATCAATCGCGTGTTACACTTACTAGAATGGATTTCTCAATCGTCATTGCATAATGACGTAAATCAGTTGATGTTCGCGTTCGGGACAATCAACTGTTGTAAAGTTCTCATACTTTACAGTACAATAGAACAAAAGGCGATGTTTTGCTAGAATCAGCACAGCTCCCCCAGTTTACAATAAATTCAAACACCATTGTTTTGGGGCGATTTTGTCCCCCACAGTCAGTCCTGTAGCAACTAAATCATTACTCATCTGGCTAGGTTTAAGTAAAACATAAGCGATATGTATTATGTGCGATAGTTCCCTTCACAAGGAAGGCGTAGTATCAGATTACGACGGTATATTTGTTCAATAAATTGTTAACTTCACTTTGCGTTGTCGTAAACAAGTTTATAATATGTTGCTTCATGAGGTAAAAACTTGGATAAACGTTTGAGATAAATGGACATAAAATGATTAGATTAAAATGTACCTACATTAAAATTTATACACATGTAAATTTTAATGTAGGTACATTTTAAATTTAACGATCTACTCGTTGTCTAGACATTCTAATCTGTAATCACGATTTTTTTCCACGTTCATGTAATTTAAAATATAGTAAAGTAATATATATTTTTGTATTAAAAAGTTTGTCTTATGTAGAAAGTTAATACCTTACTAAAATCATAAATCTTTCTTATTATTCCAGGTTTCAACTGCTCTACTGCAGCATCCGCCTTAGCATCTTCACTGCCAATACAATTCCGCCCTTCAGCGCCCTTAATGTAGCCATGTTAGACAAAATTCAACCTAACCTTAATAATATCACTGAAGTATCGTACAAGATTGGAGGGTGGTGGCGGACGTGACGTCATCGACAAAAAGGGGACATCATGAATCCGTCACAAGATGAGGCCAGAGCGGCCAGGATACAGAAATATAAGGAGGAAAGAAGAAAACAACTCACGGCCAGGACGGCGACGCTATTCTCTGCGAATGTTACTGAAAGGTGGGTTTATGACACAGTATGATAAACGACTTACGATAAAATACGGTATACGGTTATATGGTAGGTACTATAATGGTAGTATAAAATTCACATTTACGGTATAGTTGTTACGTTTTTTTAGCAAAAAAATAATCAAATATTAAATCCGTTATTAAAAAAAAATTATCTACTTTAATATTGACTTGACTCACCTTAAGTTTTGATTAACGACTCGTTACAAATAGTTGGCTATATTTATTAAATACTTTTACTTTTACGGTTTAGGGATATATGCTAAAAAAATTTTTATTTATAATTTCAGACGTCCGAGAAAAGCAGCCGACCGATCGCAGTCTGATGATACTGCCGATTATCTCAAGTCTTCCTCAGAGCTGAATCTTAACACCGCTTCAACATCAGTGCCTATTAGAACAACTCGAGCATCACGCTTAAGAGCTGCGGCTTCGGTCCATTCCGACTCATCTCCATCACATAGAAAATCTAATAGAAGCTCCTCAGTTCAATCATTAACAGAAGACAGCAAGAGTAAAACAGCAAAAAGCTCTAAGATAGTTGATAGAGACAAACGATCGAGTATAATTAAAAGACAAAGTAATGAAAAAGAAAATTTGAAGAGTACACCGCTGGTCGGTTACTCTGATAAAGATATTGGTGCTATTAAAACGAAATCTAAACATTCCACTAATAAAAATATTTTAGAAAAAGAGAAACGTAATTATTTAGTGAGTAGCCCTAAAGGAAAGATCGTCGGCGATAAAATCAGTTCAAGTTCCAAATTAGAAGAAAGAATTAATAGTAGTTTAAACAAAAACAAGAAATTAGATAGTTTAAAAATCGACGTGAAAAACGAAGCGCCTTTAAAAGAGGACGACGAAAAGATTTTTAACGACATCCTAGGTTATAAATCAAATTCTGCAAATGTTGAAAATGATAATATAGACCATTTATTTAATAACCTTGTAGTTGAGGTGACGCCGAAAACAAAGGTTAATGATGACAAGTCAATGCTCAATTTTAGTCACAAAAATTTAAACATTCCTGTTATGCAAGATACGACCTCATTTAATAAAGCTGTTAATGTTGTGAATGTTGAAGATAGTAGTGAAGTAGTGCCAAAATTAGTGAATGGTCCGGAAGTGGGTGGTTTATTGGGAGCAGTGTGTGTTCGTAAAGTAGAAAGGTTCAGTGAGCTCCTCAGTAATTTATGTTCTCCTTGTGAAGCTGACATCTTGTTCGAGGACATTTTAGTTGAGAATGAGATTGATGACCCCTTGGTAAGTTAAATATGCATTTTTTTTAAATAATAGTTAATAAGGTTGTTAAGTAATTTTAGTTTTATTAAGTAAGATTGTAATCGTGAGGAGGTATAAAAGTACCTAGGCTAGGAAAAGTATTACATTTTTTATAACCAAATGTTGTCCGTACTACATTAAACATTGTAATATTAAAAAATATAGAAATAACGTACGATAGATGTCAATTAGCATTAATGAATATAATAATTTTCAGTTCAATGTCTGAAAATTAAGTGATTAATACAAACACTATATAAATACAAATGAATGTTTGATAATGACATATAAGGGTAAATACGTAATAAATATATTTGATTGTATGACAAGCCAGCAGTTTTTACTGTGTTTTAGATTATTTTAAAAACTAGCTATGCCCGCTATTTCGTAATCCTGTAAGTTATTTGATTGCAAATTTAAGATAAAACTTTAAAAAAAAATAAAAAAATCCTTCAAACCTAACTAAAAAAATCCCCTAAATATAGTAAGTAAGCTAGTTTAAGTAAAACTAAGAAGACCTCCTAACAAGGCACAAATAGCAGTCATCTAGGATTAGTTGTTTCCAGGGAAGAAGCCGGGGCGAGGGGGCTGCCTCAAATTCTTTCAACATCCGTCGTCGTCACATGCTCTTTTAATTTTAATGAAGTTTACCACAATACATTTACACAAAGGGTAGACAAAACTTTTGACAATCATGGTTGCATTCCTTGATTAAGTACATTTCATCTTCCATGTACAGACCAGTGATTAATTACATTTTAATACAATCCTCGTCCTTGCCCTTTGGCAAAGATATGCCCAATAACACATCTGTCTACACTGGTTCTTATAATAATGAACCTCTTATTGTTTTTTTTGGTTGAAAATAGTCAGCCCAATCACATTATTATATTTTTTAAATACTATTAATTTGTGTATAGTATTATAGATTCAGTTTGCATGAGATCACCTGATACAAACAAAAATTTATAAAATTAAGCACTGCTTTTGGTAATGTCTGTGAAATAGGTGCTTAAATTATTGTCTGTTGTTTATTTATTTTTAGTTGATTATATAAAAACCTAAGGACAATGACTGGTGTGTAGTGTAATATATTTTTTTATTATTGGACAACTGTTAGCCTTTATAATTATTAATAAAAAATAAAATATACCTATTAAATTAAATCACATGGGCAAAGTATATTAATTAAAATTATAAAATGTAGGTAATTGATACAATGATATCACAAATTCTATTATTAATTGATTGTATTTATTTTATCACTTAATTATGTCTGTTGTAATACTCGTTAATTATGTTGTCTGTGCATCCGTACTGAGATAATTGAATTATTTATTTGTAGTAATAAATAATCCTGTACATATCACATGGCGACATCTAGTTCTAAGCTAAAGGAACTTGTACTGTGAGTACTAAATGACAACTGTTGTATGTGACCGAATTAAGTACTCGTAGGTTAGTAAACCCTTAAACAAGATTTTCACTACCCTTACTACATAGCAATTAGTTTATTTTGAAACACGATTAAACCATTAAAGGGTGCACCATATTATAATAAAAACAAAAAATGGAGAGCAGTATTATCAGGAAATCCATCAAATTTGTATCGCCTGTGCTCAGTTAAATATACCCACCCATTAAATGTCTTTTATTCCGCCAGAGCATCCCCAAGATGCTGATAATTTTTGAGTTTTGTATATATATACATAAATACATAATATAGAATAAACATAATATTTAGGCTGTGTCATTTCGAAATAATGTACCTATCTTCAAATAGAGAAATCAATTCTCAAAACTCCGGAGTTAAGTTTTCTCATAACTAAATGTACCTACTCTCTCTTTATAATATTAGTATAGAATAGATTGATCTTGGTAATAAATAAAAGTTAAATTAATAATGGATTTTTCTTTTTGTAAGCGGTAACCGTCATTACGACATCACGTTACCATGTGTCCCCCGTGATGTGATGAGTGATTCATGAGGACTAAGATGTTTATCCCTCTTATCCTAATATTTCATTACCTATGATCAGAATACTACAACCGATATGCAGCTTATAAAGCAACATGCTTTTTGATTGACACTGAGGTAGTAGTGGTAAACCTTTAAAATTACTTACTTTATTAAAATAAAGTTCCTTGAACAAAAAGAACGAAAATTTTGTGGAGCACCTCACTAGGCCAGAGTGCCCTCAAATATCCGAACGTTAAAATTAGCATGTTATATTCGCGCCATTAGACCCCGTGACCCGTCCAACGTCTAGCCAAGCTACGTCTTTCTAATTAATGATTATTTATTTCCAAGATAACACGTATAGTAGGTACAGTTAGTTTTTGTAACTGTTTCTGTAAACAGGTTTAATAAGGTTATAGATATGTTACCTATATTTCTATGTTATTTTCATAAGGATATAATTTTTTTTCTGTTAATAATCTATACGAGTAGAATATTGTTTCTTAGTATCAACGCTCAGTCAAAACTGAAACTAGTCAATTAATAACTGTTATTTTTTAACGAAAGTATCCACTACATAAAGATTTTGGATAGCCTCGGTGGTCTAGTTAGTACACCGCTATAAATTCGACAGTTGCGGGTTCAATTCTTCGCACAACGATACAAATATTTGTATTAATGATTATGATTTTTTGTGTTGATCGGTATGTTTGTATGTACTTATGTATTTACAAAAAAAAGTATTTGTATCAGTTGTTTAGTACCCATATCACAAGATTTGCTTAGCTTGGGACTAGATGACGCTGTATGTATTGTCCACGGTTATTATTATTATTATTTCGACTTACCGTTAACGCGCGCAAACCGTATTAGATAGGTATATGGGCACTTCATTTTACTCGTACTTTAACCAGTGATCACTTGCCCGATTTTTAGCAGCCATAATTATTAATATGGCCATCCCATAAACTCGCACTACAAAATTATAACAAAGTGGTTGATACGACTGTAATAATGACTTTCATTATTACAGTATTATTATTTTGCTTTTTGTAAGTAATGAAAATAAAAAGGAACAAGGAATTTTATGTTTAAGAATGCTCATAGCACACCGTTCTAGTCAACGAGGGTTAATTTTTTTGTGGTAAAACAATCCAAAATAATTAGAATTAACAAGAATTACAGCAACCAGAACGCATTTATTAAATTATTATATGAGTAAAAAGCAAAATATTGAATTCATTTTTAAATCCACTTGACCGAAAAACAAACATATTTTGTGTTTTCAGGAATATATATATTTACCTAACTGTAATTTTCACGCAGTGTGAGTTTATTGCCCATACAACCGCATAATTGATGGTGATAGACTGTTATTGTTTTATTAATTGGACATAGTTTAGGCGGACGTGCCAAATTAATTGCGATAGTTATAGGCCTATTAAATTTGACCCACATGTATTTTTTTATATATTCGCCTATACAACCGTTTATTTGTTGTAATTAGCAATACTGGAGCCATTAATAGTGTCATTATAAGTGGTTTACAATTCTGACTTAGTCCGAAAGGTGGTCAGTTCAAATTTGGCAGAAAAAAATTGTAAATTAATATTTATGGCTGACTCTCCGGTAAAGGAATTTCAATAACAAACCTACCAAGAGAAACGTGGCACGTGGGGTGTTCAAATGCCATCACTCATCCCATCATTCTCATCGTCATGATCGAGGACAGCATGACGGTTCCTTTCCCTATCCTATTTGATAAACAGTCATGAAGTTACATCTACTCTTAATTAAGTTACATATACCTATACAAAATTATTTTATTAAAGAAGAAATAACATTAGTCTATTTCATTAAAGAATTACTACGTTCTTTTTCGAAATTACTGTCTTTGCGAAAAATCCCAAATCAAAAATTCAATGAACATTGCTATAAATAATTGTATAGGGTTTAAGGATATTTTAATCACGTGGGCTTAGCCTATTTATCATTCCGATCGTTTATAGGAAAAGTTTCCCAATCAAGGCTCATAAATATTAATTTTAAGTTATTGCTAGCTAAGTATATAGAAAAATACGTAAAAAGAATGATTCTTTTTTTAAGGTATTCTTTTTTATTTTATTCTTTTCATTCTTTTTTATACCTACAGTGGTTTCCATTTGACAAATGATGGAAATCTAATCGGAAGAATATATATTATTTATATATTATGTATAGAAAATATATTTAATTAGACAACATATAATATAAAAAATATAAGGACGTTTTATGAAGACATAAGTTTGCTTGCATTGCTGTATTCTTCTATAGTTTTTTACGTTACATTAAGTGTTACAAAGTTCAATTGCTAAGAAATTAGACTAGAACCAATATGTGATTGAATTTTAACTGTCGATTGTAAAAAGGATCATCACAATGTGTTCAAAGTTGGTGAAGATACGTAAGTACATAAAATATCCACCAAATGGAGAATCTTTCATCTTAAAGTCTAGTGAAAATAAGACGCATATTTAGCACATTGGCCGCCTGTTTAATTTAAGCATTTATATGTGACATTGAACATTTTCCGTTTATGGCGATGGTTTACTAAACCACTTGTGACTCAGATTACATGTTATGTTTACTAATTTCGCCTCTTTGATCTGAATCTGTTGCTACAATCTTAATCTTGTCAACCGATTTAAAAATAGACGAATTAGGTTTTTGTTATTTCTGTTACATCATTACAAACAGTGTAATATATTTTTTTAGTTAAAATTTTTGTAATGTTTTGTGAGAATTGTCGGAATATTAGTCTACAATTGAAAATAATTGTGAGTTGACTAAATATATATATATATATATAGTTTCGAAGTTTGACATCTAACGTCTCTTCAAGCATAAATTTATCAACAGTCATTTCACTAAAATATTAATCTGTTACGTCCTACGCTCTAGAGTTTAAGAATAGCTAGATCGATCGGTTCTCCAGACGGCTGTGTCCCCGGAACAATCCTGATTCTATATTACCTCTGGCAAT